ATATAAACATGAAGGGAATAAAAAATAGTATACGAAGGATTGACATATTTATTTATCTATACAATATTAATATTAATAGTTAATACAGAGTAGAAATAATGTTTGGAGATGCATTTATACGTTATTTCTTTATTTTTAGGAAGTTCAATTAATATGCTTATATTCCATTTACATCTCACGGTTATCAACTATTGCGATCTGCTAATGTGCGGCCATTTTTGCAAATAGATTCCTTAAATTTAGGAGAAAATAACTGCTCATTCATTACTTAGGAGGGCACTAATGGAATTAAAATTAATAAAATCAACACATGGATGGGCATGATTACGTACGAGTATCATATTGGGAATAAAACATGATGGAGTCATATTTGAGGAAAGACGTCCTCTTTTAGTCACAAGAGTGATAATTTTCTCATAAATAAACCATTCCATAAGTCTATAGTAGATTTATCAAGACTAAACACATACTTACAAATAAGTGGCATTGCCCGTTAATACTTGTCTTTCTTGTTTAAAAAGGAACAAAAGACTACAACAACAATAGTATTCAAACCTTAGTCCCAAAAGAGCTGGTGGTCCACTAACATGAATCAACACATGAAATCGGAGCCGATATGCATATTTCAATTCATGTGATGTGATGTGATGTGATGTGACTAAGTGATGCACCTATATTGTTAGCCGTCATGCACCTATCAAAGTACCCTCCTCCTTTATCCTGGCTTGGGACAAACATGATATAAAAAATGATCTCATACTGGAGTAAAAAAAGACTCGGAATAAAATTGTTTATTAGGTTTATGACATGGTATTATTGCACCATTTTCCAACTAAAGTTGTTATTAATGGATGGTAACCTATAAAGATTAGGTGCTATTTATCTTCTACTAGAGTACTGGTTCATTGTTCTGATATGTTGATAACTTCAGATGCTTTAATAACCATAATGAAAGAAGAAGGTTGGAAGGCACTTTACAAGGGAATTGGACCAGGTCTCTTTCTGGTTAGAAGTTTCTATCTTTCATTTTGTTGTTTATTTTTGCCATAGATGTGCTTCCTTTATTCATAGCATTTTTTGTAAATAAAAATGTTGTTCTTTGACTTTATCATTCACAAGATAACCAAAAGTTATGGTTGAAACTCTTGCAAATTTTACATGAATAATAGTTCAGAAGATAAAATGTAGATGCACCCTATTCATCAAAGACCTTTCTGGTTTGCTTCAGCAGGTAACACATGGTGCTATCCAGTTCACTGCATATGAGGAACTTCGTAAGGCTGTGGTACGATGGAGGTCTGAAGGAAATGAAAGAACATTTGGGGCTTCTGATGATATGTTGGTGCGTGAGTCCACTTCCTTCCTTCTCTTATTTTTTTCATTTTACCAAAACTCTACTGCATGATTATTGTTACAAATCTAAAATAATTTTTTTTTAATTACAATTTTTTTTTTCATTTTTTTTCATTTTTTACTACACACACTTTTATTAAAAACTTCCCTTTTACTCACCTCCCCTGCCCTCTTTGAACCAAACTTAGAGCTAAATGTCTTTGAGGAACATAAACTATGTGCTTGTGGTGTATATTTCTGTCTAGAATTCAATTGATTATGCAACATTGGGAGCTTCTTCTAAACTAGCTGCTCTTCTTTTGACATACCCACTTCAGGTATGTATTTTTAAAATTCCGTTTTAATCCATTTTGCTATAATAAATTTAGCAATTGACTTGCTATATCAATTGGTTGACCTCTTCTTATTTCCATATTTTGCAATGACTCTGGTTGGTTTTGAGGAACGTGTTTAGGTCATAAGGTCCCGTCTTCAGGTAAAATACTTCTGTTCACTAAACCTCTTTGTTGGCTATCTATAGACTTTTACCTAGTCCACCTCTTCCTTCAGTAGCTTTAATCTCAGAACTTATGCAGCAACGACCTAGTACTGCTGGAATACCTATATATGTAGATAGCTGGCATGTGATGAAGGAAACAATACGGTGAGGAAGATTATCTACAATTTAAATTGCATCATATTGTGTGCCACATCCATTTTTTAGCTCAGTCTTAAACTTCATACCCCCTTTGTTCCAAAATGTAAGATACATTCATACATTTTGGTTTGACACAATTTTTGAGATAGTAAATCTGATAATGTTATTTTATAACTTTAACCTTATAAAAGGAATAAAAGTGATACAGTCAAGGTGAATGGTAGATAAAATGATAAACTAGGGAAGTATAAAGTTAATCAAGTTCTAATTAGAAAGGTGCTCATAATTGTGGGACGGACAAGAAGCGAGCCTATCTAACCAAATGGGACAGATGAAGCAAGGAAGCGGTCCAGCTCAGCTGGTCGCCAACTCACTATCCCAGTTTACCCCAGGCCCCTTCCCCAGACCCCAGGGGTAAAGAAAAATGGGACAGATGGAGCAATATTTAATTAGTCAACAAAGGAATGGCTTGTATCAGTTGTGTGACCTTGAAGGAAGGTCTTAAACATGAAATCCTTTGGAATGGCAGTGATGTATCATTTATCATCTTTTCAATGAAATAAAATAAATGTCTAAGTTTGTTCCCCAAATCGATTTGAATTTGGAGAGAAGTGGAATTCATCAAAATTCAATTCAATCTTAAAGAATGAGTTCTGGACTTTATTTTGTTTCAAATAAATTCGATTACATTTGAAAAGAGTCCTCACGAAAAGTGGCACTCGATCATGTTTTATTGAGGAATTGATGCAAGGACAGATGTGAAGAGTGATTAAAATGAAAACTGTGTGGGGTTGACTGGTAAAACATGAAGTTCCGGGGAGTGGATGAGAAACTCTGCAAATGACATGTGAAATTTAAAGTTTTTAGATGCGAAGTGCGTTAGTCTGAAGTGGTGAAACTGAGTAATTGCTTAGGTGCTTGCCTTTCTGCAATCAAAGATTTAAGTTTGTCATACCATGTCTTGAAGGCTTCTTGTTGTAATGAAAGATTTAATATCGTGTTTGGATGACAGGTTTGAGGGACTGCGTGGTTTCTACCGAGGCATCACTGCAAGCCTGCTTAAAAACGTTCCTGCTGCATCAGTTACTTTCATTGTTTATGAAAACATTCTTAATATGTTGAAATTAGCAAAGAGAGACCATTAAGCTTGTTATTCTTTGGGCACTCGGCACTTTTTTTGCAGGACTAAACTCTACAGGAAAGCAACCTTAATGTATAAACTAGATGCGGTTTTAAAAATTTTAAGTGGTCAGTGAAGAGAAAACTACATTTTTTTAATATCTTGACTATGTGTGCTACCTTTCTTTTTATCATTTGTTATTGTTGCAAACTTGCATTTGTGTTGTATGTGTGTGTGTTCAATGTAGGTTGACAGAATAAAATGGCAGAATATTTAATGTGTTTTTAAAAAAGCTAAAAAAAATGAAATAACTAGAACCTAATATAACATTTTAGTAGTTTAAAATGTCATTTATCTCCATTCAAGTCATTTCAGTTGACGCTTCTGTATCTTTGCACTATTATTTGAAAAAACACCATGGGATATTTGGATTCAGTTAATGCTGGAAATTTCTCGTGTGCCGAATAAGTGAGAATTTTAAAACATTTCTCAAGACATTTCTCGATTTGTGCGTGTATAACATTTCTCAAGAATGTATTCACATGTAAATATGTAAATAGAGCTTTATTATTAAAAGTAAGAATGTTTCACCAAGATTTCTACAATCTCAGATATATTTTGGAACTTTTAAAAGTAATAGAGATTTATTATTTTAAGTTCGTACCTTTCGATTGTGTCTGCTACTAGTCCTATAATTTTACTCACATGTAGATGTAATTATGTACCTAATAAATTTGTCAGTAATAAGGTAGGGGTGGATTAGGACGGGATCGGGCCGAGCTTCTGGCCGGGACTGGGCGTGCTTCGGGATGGGACTGGGTCGGGCCAAATTTTGTTTTTTGGAATTCTTGACCTTTAGGCCCGGACCGGGCCTGGACCGGTCGGTCCACTAAAATCAAAGCCCGGTACCACATGCTTCTTCATCCGGGTCTGGCCCCGGGCTCGGTCCCGGTCAATCGGGATAGGTTGGGCCTGCACAGTAGCGGGTCGGGCGGGGTCACGGGTTGGGCTGACCCGTCCTAGTCCACCCCTATAATAAAGGCTATTTCATCGGAAAGCACGTGTTCTTGCAAAAAAAGTACTTTCTAGTGGAATGATTCCTAATACAGGTAAATTTATTAATTATCAGATTAAATATGCAAGTGAGTAAATTTATAAATCTAAATTTATACTTCTGCTAAATGTAATTAAGAGTTATTAAACTTTCATTAAACTATTAAAGGATAGGGGGGGTAAGCGTATATTTTTAATAGTGCAGGGATCTAAGTGATCATACGTGAAACCTCGACGAAGGTCAATGATAATTTTCCATTAATAAATTCAATCAATAGGTGTCTAAGGAGAGGCAAATCATTGAGTTGGACGAGTCCTAGCTTGCTGCTAGCTAAGTAGAGGAAAAGAGTGCACATAGTCCATCAAAATTAAATGTGGGAAACTTTAAAGTAGGGATTAGAAATGTATATTGCACGATTGTGGATGATTAAAAACGAAAAAGTTGAAAGTTTTTTTTGGCAAATGTAAAAATTGAAGTTGAGTACTAACAAAGAAAGTTAACATTTTTTTGGAAAAACTATCAATTATATCCTCGTACTATTAACACAAAGTCAATTAGGTCCTCATACTTTTTAAAAAGTCAATCAAATCCCTGAATTTTTAAAAAAAGTTCATTTGAGTCAATTATCAGGTATCTATCATGTCAGCAAGTCACCCGCTAATAGGGTTCACACGTGATGATCCATGTGTGTGCCACATCATCGATAAATCGCTGACTCGACTTCCACATCAGCAGAACGAGTGCTGATTGAACTGTCACATGTGCTTCAAGTCAGCAAGTCGGCTGTTTTACCTTTTTTGGGGAAAAAAGTCATCAATTGTTTTCATTTTACCCAGCACTAGCATAAGTTCATAACCACAAACTGGAACTGCACAATGCACATATAGCCCGGCGGTTCCGGAAGCCGCTGCTCGACCACCCATGGCGTCTTGTCTCTCGTTGATACTGGGCCAGCCTCACCATAGCGTGCGCATCAGACTTCCGAAGAGATTCTCCTCCTCTCATTTCAGACTCCTTTTCTCGAAGCCACTCTGTGTTCAATCCTCCACCGTCTACTGGCTCCGCCGCTCGTCCACGTCACCACCCACTAGGAGCTTGGTGCTTACGGGATTCTCCAGAATCTTCTCTTTGTGTCACTCTCGCTCTCCCATCCCTAACAGGGAGCAGATCCCAAGCCTCCACCACTTCGTTCCCAAAGCCACCACAGATAGTCCCATCTCTGCTTCCGGTATTCAAGCGGAGTGAGATTCACTTTTCCATTTCTTTATATTATTATCTATAATTCAGGTGCTACTTAATTAGACTAGTTTGTAGATCAAGCAGCTGTTTTTAGGAAATTTATACAATGTTATACAATGTTCGAAATTTAGGAAATTTTATTTTGAAGATCTTTGTTTAGCACCGGCAGCCGTTTTTCTTTCTTAATTGGCTTCTTCTATGAAATGTACTGACCAATTTCCCCAATAAATGGTCATTTACTTGAAACACTGGCTTCTCCTAAGTCAGAATAGATGTTACGAGGTAATGAAGAAGTGCTAAAAACTATTACGGCACTTGTTATGATATACTACCGTATATGGATTAAGTTTTTGCTCAGCTTCCAATTTGTTATTATGAATATTTTAGAACTTTATCTTTACATCCTATGGTGTAAATATGGTTAATGTCAAAATGCAACTCACACTGCTGATTTTTTTCTCAGTGTAGAGACAAAATCCGAAATTCTTCAAAGAGGTCGGATTTACCATGAAACTTACGGATGCCAAATGAATGTAAATGATATGGAGATAGTTCTATCTATAATGAAGAATGCTGGATACAGTGAAGTCGTGGATGTTCCAGAGAGTGCGGAGATTATATTCATAAACACGTGTGCTATAAGGGACAATGCAGAACAAAAGGTTTGGCAGAGGCTAAATTATTTTTGGTTTTTGAAGAGGCAATGGAAGAGCAATGTTTCCATTGGAAGGTCTCACTCCTCACACCCTCCCAAAATAGTTGTTTTGGGCTGTATGGCTGAGAGGTTGAAGGAAAAAATATTAGATGCTGAAAAGATGGTTGACGTGGTGTGTGGGCCAGATGCATATAGGGATCTTCCCCGACTATTAGAAGAGGTCGATTATGGTCAGAAGGGAATCAACACTCTTCTCTCACTTGAAGAAACTTATGCCGATATAACCCCAGTTCGCGTTTCTAAGAACTCAATTACGGCTTTTGTTTCAGTCATGAGAGGTTGCAATAACATGTGCTCTTTTTGTATCGTCCCTTTCACAAGGGGTAGAGAGCGGTCTCGTCCTGTGGAATCAATTGTGGAAGAAGTCAGGGTGCTTTGTAAGGAAGGTGTGAAAGAGGTAACCCTTCTTGGTCAAAATGTGAATAGCTATAACGACACATCTGTGGTTGAAAAGGAGGTTCTTCCACCAGGACCCGACTGGAAGCTCAGTGAAGGATTTTCAAGCAAGTGTAAAGTAAAATGTGTAGGTTTGCGGTTTGCTGATCTTCTTGATAGACTTGCAGTCGAGTTCCCAGAAATGCGGTTTAGATACACTTCACCTCACCCAAAAGATTTTCCTGATGAGTTACTGTATGTGATGCGAGATAGATACAATATCTGCAATAGCATTCATCTACCAGCACAATCAGGGAACACCACAGTTCTTGAAAGGATGCGGCGGGGTTATACTTGCGAATCCTACCTAGATCTTGTGCAAAAGATACGGGGTATTATACCTGACATGGGGATAAGCAGCGATTTTATATGTGGTAAGAGATCCTCAATTTCTTGTATCTTTCTCATTTGTATCTTTTAGAAGAAAAATTCTAATTTTTGGTCCTACAAGTATTTTAACAATCTCACATTTGGCCCATGTTTATGACTTTCTTCACATTTGGTACATGACATTTATTTCTTTCCCATTTGCGGTCCTTCTGGCCAAATTTTTAGCACCTATGTGGCGATATCAAGTAAATGAGATTTAGTTGGAAGGACCGTAGGTGGGTAAGGAACAACTCATGTATCAAAAGTGTGCAAAGTCAAAGACATGGACCTAATTAGAGATTGGTATAATACTTGTAGCACTAAAAGTGGATTTTGATTTTCTCTTTTATAAAGCCTTAATTTCTCCTGCCTTGCAATTAGCATATATTTTGAGTTTTGTTTGAGTCTAGCCTAGGGCTGTAAACGAGCCGAGCCGAGCCCGAACACCCAAAGTTCGAGTTCGGCTCGATAAAGAATTAGTGGTGTTCGGGTTCGAGCTCGAAGCTCGACGAGCTTTACAAACGAGGCTCGTGTTCGGTTTGTCAGGCGTTCGATGTTCGAAACGAGCGCTCGATAAGCTCGATAAATATACTTGAATTTAAAATTTTAGGTGATGCTCGTTAATAGGCTCGTGCTCGAATGATTCGACAAGTATTCGGTTCGTTAAAAATCATACTAATTATATTTAAATTTTGAAATATATATAAATTATATTTAAATTCCAGGTGTTCGATAGGCTCGAGTTCAAACCGAGCCAAATACTACTATGTTCGAGCTCGGTTCGATTAACTTTTCGAACTTAAAACTCAGCTCGGGTTCGAGTTCGAAAGCTCGTTAAGCTCGGTTCGTTAGGTTCGAAACCGAGCTTGAACTCGAATAGTTCGATAAAAGCTCGGTTCGTTTACGGCCCTAGTCTAGCCTATAGAGATTGTGTGTTGTGTGAGTCATTATCTATAAGTCTATAACATACATAGATTTGAATGGTGTATGGTTTTCATTTAGAAGCATGTGTTGATATTTCCAGGATCACTAGGGTCCGTTTGGAACATGAAAAATACGATGGGATGAAAATGAGGATCCAAATCTGGAAAGTACGGGCAACATAAAATGAGGAAAATAGAGTGGAAATTTGGAAGGACACAAAAATAAGTGGAAACTCAAAGATATGCTCAAAACAATAAATTTGTTGTAGGTGTTTGTTCCAACTCATTATCTGTCTAGTTTTACTATGTAAAGACTTGGCAAATCCTAATCAATGTAAAACATTAATTTTTCAAAACTGTGTTGCGTGTTCTTAGGTAAGACAAGCAACATAATATCAATCTTAGTGGATTTTTGTCTTTCCCTAGCATTTACTTAGATCCAAACATATCCAAACATATCCTATAAGATAATACTTCTCTTATATGTTCATCAATGCAGAGATTGTAAAATCTGTCATTTGAAAGACAAATACCCAGAGCATGTGAACACAATTTATTTTCTAATGGCCAACAACACACTTCTGATTTTATGTGTGCCAACCTACAGGTTTTTGTGGGGAAACAGAGGAGGAACACAAGGACACAGTTAGCCTTATAAAGGCAGTCCGTTATGACATGGCATATATGTTTGCCTATAGCATGAGGGAGAAAACGCACGCACATAGAAACTATGTTGATGATGTCGCTGATGATGTAAAACAGAGAAGGCTCACGGAATTGATTGAAGCTTTCAGAGAGACTACGGGTGGATGCTATGACTCTAAGGTTGGTACTGTCCAACTGGTGTTAGTGGAAGGTCCCAATAAAAGAGCCCCCGACACAGAGCTCATAGGAAAGAGTGATAGAGGCCACCGGGTTTGCTTCACAAATCTGTCTATCCCTGATAAGGTAGAGAAAACCGGGAAACGGAATCCAAAAATAGGGGATTATGTTGAGGTACACATAACAAAATCCACAAGAGCATCGCTGTTTGGAAATGCAGTTGCTATTACCAAGTTGAGCTCATTTTACAATGGATTGCGTGAAGAATGTGTTGCATGTGCTCACACAAGTTAGGCACAGTATTTATCTTATCTCCATGTTCTTCAATGTGTAATTCTTTTATAGCTTTGTGGCCTTTTATGGTACTGATATATGTTATATACGAAGTATATTTTAACCGCGCTTTAGAGAGCGAGTTAGGATTTCTTTGTACAAAAAAGAAGTTTCTTTACATTGTTTAAATTTGCAATGTTTTTTGTTTCAACCCTTTAATATCATTATTTTATTTTACTAATTCAAATGTAGTGGATGAACTCTAAGTATGGTTCAAGTGCTAGTGATCGGAATGTGACTTTTTATCTAATTCTTACTTACCTGAGTTCTGGTTTTTTGATAATATAAGCCTATAAAGGTCACCCTCTTCCAAAAAAAATGTAGTAGATGAACAATTACTTGAGAGCTGATTATTTGGCACTTCAGTCTTCAGAGGTTTAATAAAGATAACGGCTCAATCATGCTTGTGTTTAAGACGTAATATAAATGTCTCTTAATTCCGTCCCAATTTTAGTTTTAGAAAATAAAATTTACATATTAAGAAACTACGTTAAAACCGCTACAAAACCTTCAAAAAATAATTTCAATTTCATAAACTTTTGATATATAAAGTAAAAGATTAAAAGTGATTTATGTTAACCAAGTGAACAGTAAATGTATCTTAAATTTGGACTGAGCGAGTAGTTGTTTTGCTTTTAAGCAGTGGCGTGTCCAGAAGTTTTCTTAAAGAGGGGAACTTCTGCATGGATAAGAATGGGCCGGGTCAAGAGTGTCACTAGCTAGTCTAGACTATATGGACATATATGGATTATAGGTGTAGTTTTGAACCATTAAGACAATTCTAAACAGTAATTTTAGACTTTATTAGAAAAACATAATGTGGATTAGAAATGAGCCGTCCTTGGGCGTTTTTGATTTTTAATTTTCGTTTTTCTTTATAGGAAAGATTGAAAATAATAATCTCAACTATTGCTTGTTCACTAAAAATAATCTCAACTATTGATTATTTTTGTACAATCTCAACTATATAGATCTGTAACATCCCACCCCGTAGGGCCCGAGATAGTTACCCCTAGATACCCTGAAAACCTTTAGTACTATCCTCACAAACCACCGCAAGCCTTAAACGCGCACTATGTCCTCACTCGTGCGCGCACTGATAAACTTTGCAGAGTGTTACCTATCCTAAGACTACTCCGGTGTAAGCACACTTAACTTGAAGATCTTAGCTGATGAGCCCCCTTAAAAGTAGATGCACTTAGTTTGGTCTGAGTGCTACATTTGAGGGGGAGTTTTATTTATTTCTGTTAGTATCCACAATATCTTTTTCTTATTAAGAAAATCACAAAAATATTTTATATTTTTATTGTGAGTCTTTAAGTGTTTACTATTTTAATTTAGCAGAGTCGGTTTCCTATTATGATAAAAAGCCGAAAAGATTTTATTTCTTTTGTTTCACGGGTACTTAAGAACAATTTCGTAGAATATTCTTATTTTACTCATCATCTTCCTCCTCTTGTTCACCAAAAGCTCTCAAGCACTCATGTTCATCATCTTCTTCTTCGTCATTTCTCTCTAAATTTTAAGGTTTATTCTCTTTTCATTATTGTTTGTATGTGTGTTTGTGTGTGTTCTTGTTGCAGGTACGTTCTCAAACGACGACGAGACCCGGACAACCACCGGCCAACCTCCTCGCCGTTGTCTACCCCATTCACATCTTCCATAGCCAAGAACTCGGCTGTTCAGAGATTTTAATCTCAAGACGTTCGAAATCCTTGGTCTTGAAATCTTGATTTCGTGTCGTTAGAGATTTTTAGGCGAAATCCCCAAATCCCAAGACTAATTACGAAATCATACCTATCGATATCCATTACCCAAGGCCGAAATCCGCATCCTTGAAATAAGGTCACCCGAAATCCACCTGAGCCATACCCGAAAACCCTCTCCTGAGATCTCTAATAAAACCTCCTATCCGAAATCTTTAACCAATCGGACCCCCGAAATCCTCACCCCCGAGATCCCTTAACCCGACATCTGTTTACCCGAAATCCCTTAGTCTCTCAAAATCCACCGAGATTGTTGAAGATCATTTAATTGTGAATCAAGTTTGTCACCTATCTTGTAATAGATTAGCTTTATTATTATTCCTTGTATTTAATATGTGCATTTATTATATTGAATATGGGCCAAGTGTTAGGCCCATACAACAGGCTAAAAGCCTTTCACGCCTACCTGAACCTCGCCTATAAAAAGGGAGCCGAGGATTCAGGATTAGGTTAACTTTCGTACTTATTCATAATAGCCTTAGCGCAAATCATTCTGTGTACGAGTTCACGGTATATCAAAGAGGGTTTTACATCGATTCATCTGTGTTCATCTTTACGGTTAATCTTCTTTGTTATACTGCTATTCATTGCTGTTACAGAAACAAGGACTATCAATTGGTATCAGAGCCGATCAGAAGAACGCCCGAAGAAAACCTCTGTTTTTCACGTTGTTTTTGTTCTGTCGAGTTCTTTGTCTGTAATCTTGTTTCTTGTTAAAAAGTTGTAAAAGTTACACCCTTAGAATCGTCGTTTCGAAGCGATCAAGGGGTATACTTCAGATTTCGTTTTCTGCAATTTCTGTACTTGAGATATTTCGAGTAGCATATGTCGACATTTAGGTTTTAAACAGGTTCTGCCAAGTATTTCGAGCTGAAAACTTTACCTGAGGATCTCGTCATCATACTCTACAAGAAACTACCTTCAGATTTTGCTTATCTGATTTTTACAGTTTGCAGGATTTCGACATTGAGGATTTCGACATCTAAATCTCGAGATCAAGATTTCGATTTTAAGGTCTCGACATCTGGTCTCGACATTTGACTTCTCGAAATAATATTTCGAGTTTAACTTCTCGACATCTCAAATCTCGAGATTTACTTCTCGACATTTGAAATCTCGAGATTTCAAACTCGACATCCTAATCTCGATATCAAATCTCGAAACCGGGCCTCCTTTATCGAAATCCCAGATCTCGACATCTGATTTTCGACATTCTGCCTCTGAAAATCTTTTGATCAATTATCTCGAACGGTCAGTTTTATACAACAATGGCCTCAGAATTCAATGCCCAAGGGAACAACAGTACTCCTCCCAGTCTCAGGAAAGGAGAATACCAAATGTGGAGAAATCGATTCCTTAATTTCCTTGAGCACAAAGAAAACTCCACTGCGATGCTTGAATCATTGCTTGAAGGACCAGCTGAACTGATGATTTCAGTTGGTGGAGATCCAGAAAACAACCCACCTATTCTTCCAGAAAGGAGACGGAAAGTGGCATCTGAATATACCGAAGCTGACAGGCTCAGGCTTCGAGGTGATCTCATGGCCAAGACGTACATCCTTCAAGCAATCCCTAACGAAGTATATGTTCTCATCGACAGCATGTAAACGACAAAGGAAATGTGGGATGAGATCGAGAAACTGCTCCAAGGCACAAGCATCAACCTTAAAACCAAGAAGACAACAATCCTGATTGCTTATGACTCCTTCAAAGCTGGCCAGGGAGAACCATTGAATGAGACTTACAACAGACTCGTCCAACTGGTCAATGAACTAAGAAAAATCAAAGTATTCAGGTCCAACTTGGAACTGAATATAAGGTTTCTATCCAGCTTACATCCTGCATGGGAAAAGACAGTGAAGGATGTTAGATCTCGCATTGACTTGGATGAAATTGACCTCTTCACTCTTTATGAACATTTGAAGCAATTTGTCAATGAGGTTGCTTGTGCCGAGGATCATCACAGCACAAATCCCCTGGCTCTAGTGATGGAAGCTCAGCCCCGAAGGACAACCACACCACTGAAGAAGAAGAAGAAGAATGTGGTGGTTGAATCAGATGATGATGAAAGTGACGACGACAAATCTGATCTGGAGGCTGAGCTTGCAGACTTACAGAAGAAGATGACACTGCTTGCCAAGAGATTTGCAAAGAAGAACAACTCCTCCAACAAGCTTAGAACCTCCTCCTCAAACTACAAACAGAAGAAACCATGAACAAGGATCTTCTAGGAAGGCGCCATCAGCTGAAGATGCCCCCAAATGCTACAACTGTGGAAAGGATGGACATGTCATCAAAGACTGTCGCCTCCCAAAGAAGAAGGATGCAAACTTCTACAAGCAGAAGATGTTGTGGAATAAGCAGAAGATGCTGATGGTGCAGAAAGAAGAAGAAACTTCTGCAATGCTTGCTGAGAATGATCAATGGGCAGAAGATACTTCTGATGAGGAGGAGGAGGAAGAAAACTATGTCTTGATGGCACGAGTGGAGGAAGAAGATGAAAGAAAGGGTGACGCTGCGATCCCCAACAGTGAATGCTCAACAAACTCTGTAAGTACCTCTCATATTCCTTTAAATAATCAAAATCAGTCCTTACTTGAGAAGGACAATCTAATTAAAGAACTAAAGGAGAGATTAGACAATAATCACAGGGTACTGAAATAGAATCTAGACCAAAAGTCTTCTCTAAGTGTTCAACTTGAAATTGCGAAAGATCAGGTCAAAAAGGTGTCCTCAGATTTTGAAAGTTTTGAACTTAAGATAGCTGAATTAACTAAGAAATTTGAGGATAGTGAAAGAGAAAAAAGCACTGCAAAGGCTGAATGCGATTTTCTGCATAATAAAAGAAGAACACTTTTAAACAAAATAAAAGAACTAGAGGATCTAGCTGCCAAGAGAGGTCAGTCTGAACAAACAATTTTTCTTAATCGAATAAAGGATGACCGATTTTACAATCCTAGAATAGGACTGGGCATAACCAACCCATGTAATCTAAAGAAAGTTAACTGTCTTCAGATTTATAACAAAGATTACATGGGATTAGGGTTTGGTGAGAAAATGTATTTTAGAAGTGATGAAGAAAACGCAGAAGCAGAAGAAGAAAAGAGAAAGAACCCTAAAGCTGTGATTTCTTGTGATGATCCTTCTGTTAATGAAAAACAACTTTCACAAGAAGAATCTAGTTCGTGCTTTAGTGAATGTCTTGACCCTTATGCAAAAGATATTCCACACGTAGGACATCCTCTAGACCCACCCCAAGAGTAGGTATCTCTAAAATTGGAGAGGAACCTTGTATTTTTCCTATGGCTCAAAAACTCAAAAACCTCCAGAAAACTCTTGATAACGAGAGAGAGAGATTTGAAACAGAAAAGAGAGGTTTTGAGAGCAACTGGCAGGAACTTCTTCAAAAATTCAATGAATTAAGTGAGCAGTATCATGCTAA